GCAGCATAGCTCACTGTGCTTTCCAAAATATATTTAGAGATAGGGAGGCTACAGCTGACTTATTAGGCCCTTAAGGAATAATGAAGAATATTCAGAAAACTATCCAGCCATGCATTTCCTATCAAGAAATGTGTTTCTCAGGATAACACTCTGATTTTGTCCCTTTTGTCCTACTTTATTAATAATAGTCTGCATTCACAATAATTCAGGAAGCTGCAAACTTTTAATTCACACCCACTTAACCTCACGTGCACTTCCTCTTTTCTGCAACTTGTCAGCTTGGAATATCATTACCTGAATTCATAGCCTCACATCTGTCAGCTGGAAAGGCAGTTATCCCAATTGATAGTACTTGCTTTCATTGAAAATAGGCAGGTAAGTCTCTTTAAATGTTATCTTTTGATTATACAGTCAGTTAAGATTATTGTGTTGTAGATATGATGAAGCTAAATCTCAGCAAAGTATTATCGCCTACAGGAAACAGGACACTGCATTACCTTCTTTTATTACAAGAATTGTGAGTTTTGAAAGTATATGCGCAGATCTATGAGAACAATACATTTGTAATTGTCATTCCTATTACCGTTGCCTTTCACCTTTTCATTCCATTTTGGTTTGAGTTCTAGAACTTCATGGCTGTATCTTGACTACCAGAAAGTTATTTTATCCTGTCCCTTTATTGGTGGAATAAAACTGATTTTTAGCCATTCCCCTTTCCCTCACAATTGATTTGCTGCTCCCTAAGGCATTCTGAAGGGATCCCCAACTCTTGTAGTCAATTTGGTTTCCCCTTCCTCTGCAAAGGGAAGCCTCTACTGAGGCTGACATCTGACACCAAAGGGAGTCAATCTTAGGAACTGCATCTATACTCTCCTATAAAAACAAGTCACAACACTATGAATTATTATTCCAGTTCTGCTAATCATGTGTCACAGACAATGTTGGCCAACTTTTTTCTTCATGATTTGAGTCCTACCCAAGGGCTTGGGAATTATAAAGGTAGCGTTGAATGATGGATGAGGTGTCCAACAGTGCCGGTGTTCAGAGGTGAGTTGTGAATTGTTCCAAATTTAGGTAATCCAAATTCTTTCTCAGCTCTTGTGGTATTGCATCTAGCACCCCAAGAATTGGTACCATTGTTGAATTCCACATGTTTGCAAACTGTTTCCAAATCTTTTCTAGTTCCTTGTCTTCAACATTACTGTCTTTTGGAATGGCTACATCAATAAACCAAACATGTTTGTTATTATTTTCTTCCAATGATAGCCATGTCTGGTTATATTCTAGGTGTTCACCAGTCTGAATTTTAAACTCCTCTTTTTTTTCTCTCTCTCTTATTTTCAATGGCTTTATCTGCGATTTCACGTTACCAGTAATTCTTATTGACTGTGAATCCATACTCTTTACATAAATGCCAGTATAATATCTTGCCAACTCAATCATGATTTTCTATGTAATTAGTCTGCGAGATTTTGCTGCATCCAGTTATTATATGGTCAACTGTTTCATCCTTAGCACAATCAGTATTCACTATCCAAACTGGTCTTATATTTTTGCCTTTATGACATTTGCACATAGTGCTTTTTTGGGGGCAGCAAAAAGCATTCCTTCTGTTTTGTTTTGTAATGTACCCCTTTTAAGCCACTGCTTGTTCTGATGTTACCTGATTTGCTGCCAATATCTTTTGAAAAATGCCTATGGAGCACTTTGCTTTTCCCAGTTTTCTAATTTCCTTTCAAGCTGTTGCTTTTTATAGTCATGTTTAGAGTCCATTTCTGCAAATAACCTTTCTTTCTGATATTCTTCCAAAAAAAAGTTTGTTTATTTTGATGTAATCATTCAGCCCTTGTTTTTCTTCCTCCACAGTTTGTTTTACCTCTACAAGTTCTTGCTCACCAGTCTTTCTTGAAAGATATAATCTAGCAACATTGCCACAAGGGTATAGGTATTCATAGTCATTAATTTTCTGGTTTGACAGTCAAGATTATTAAGTGATCTAAGTCCAGGCAACTATTCCTGCAGTACATTGAATTACTGGCATTGCCTATGAGTTGATGAGTCTGATTGAATTTCCACCATTTAGGCTAGACTTTAGGATTTTTCTCAATTGCCTGCAACATCCTGAACTTATTTTTCTCTTTATTTGGTATCCAATGTTTTCAAGGTTCCCAAATATTTATAAACTTTGCTTAGGTACTAGACCCTTGATGATTGTTTTGTTTATGAGTTGAATACTTTCTTGTGAGTGAGTGATTTTCCTTTTCTTTATTTCAATGATTGCACATTGAACAGTATTTAGTTAGCATTAGATTCCAGTTCAGCTTTTGACTTGGCATATAATTTTAGGTCATTATGTTACAAAAGTTGGGAGATATTTTGACCTTGTGTTGAAAACTGGTACACATGCCTTATTTAGCATCCTTGTCAATGAGATCACTACCAAATTGAATAATAAATAATAAATCAGCCTTGAAAGGTCCCCCTTTTTATTGTGAGTTCACCTTGTTTTCACCATTAAACATTAACATTGTCTTTCATGCTTTCATTGTTGGTTCTACAAAATCTCTGACATTTTGACTACTTCTAAAAATGTCAGTAGTTTTCGGCTATGATCCAGCTATGTGGAAAGGAGTCATATGTTTTCTTGCAATTAATCCAAGCCATACATAAATTCATTTTGATTCATTTTGATTTTTTAAGGATCGCTTTATCAATAAGTAACTGATCTTTGGTTCCTCATGAATTTTTGGTGGCTCTATTTTCCTTCAGATAAACTTATATTAAATTTGCTATTATTCCAGGAAGCATTTTGAAGATGGTAAGAAAACAAATTATTGGTCTGTAGTAACATCATCATCATCATCATCATCATCAGCAGCAGCAGCAGCAGCATCTTCATCTATAGGCCACTTTTCCTCAGATAATTTAGTGTGGCAAACATAGCACCCAGAAACTAGTCCTGCACGAATTTATTGTACAATTTAAAGTGCTCATGTTGACCTATAATACCCTTCATGGGTATCTGCAGGAATACCTTCATCTACCAGATCTGGCTAACCTGATCGAACAGATCTTGTAAAGTATAGCTACTGTTGGTCCCACACTTCTGGGAGTGAGAAGGGCTAAGGAGAGGCAGTGCTGGGGGTTTTTTGTTTTTTTGTTTTTTTTGTTTTTTTGCTGTGGTGCTTCTGCTTTGGAATGGCCTCCCTTCACAGGTCAGACTCACCCCTCCTTCCTGCCACTTAGGAAACAGAGTAAAAGCCAAACTATTCCAGAGGCCATTTTCTTGCTTTAATGCATTGCACCATTTTTTATTATTTTATTTACTCTTACTTTTATTGTCATTTATGTTACTATTTTACCATGTGTGCTTTAATTATTATATGTTGTATACCTTGTAAGCTGTTGAGGTTTGGTTGATTGTGGCTGTATACAAGTCCAATAAATAAATAAATAAATAAATAAATAAATAAATAAATAAATAAATAAA